ATTGAGTTTCGAGGGAAAACAAAACTAACTATTTCCCGAGAGAACAGACATTAAGTGTTTTGTTATATAGCGACGAAATAAAAAAATATATATATATTCATACAACAATTGTATTTTGTGATAAAAACAATACAAAGTAAGCGATATTAAAATTTAAAAACTTGCCTAAAGTATTTCCACAGCATTTCCTGTTGCCTGCTGTGTATTTTTCGTCTCTTTCGATTTTGTAGTCTTCAAATAAACTTGAGAAAACATTTATAAACTTGCAAGTTCAAAGCCGCCATTTTGTTTTCGGGAGGGCAATAATTGTTTACTTATTGCCCTGAAGGAAACATTGCATTTAATTAGGGTCATGTGACCACAAATCAACCAATCACGGATTGGCTTTCCCCCTAGCTATATAAACAAGGATGATTAGCACACACCCGCGTACTCACTAGGAAACATTGCCAATAAAACAGTTGCCTCGACGTTTACCAAATATTGACCTCATATAATGACCAGTTGTAGAAGAACAAGTTCGTGAAATGTTAGAGAACCAAATGATAAACACTGGACCAGCCCCATAGACATGGTGCGAATGAAGGATGGTAATTGGCACTTTTGCTTTGATTTTCGAAAATTGAATAAAGTAACCGTAAAGGGTGCATTCCCTTTACCCCAAGTTGCTGATTTGGTTGACTCGTTATCGGGACATAGATATTTCTCAACGCTAGATTTGGCGTCTGGTCACTGGCAGGTACCAATGGAAGAGTCCAGATAATAGGAAACAGCCTTTGTTATCTAGGGAGGAGGTCATTTTGTGTTTATACACATGCCATTTGGGTTAACAAATGCGGTTCCTACGTTTCAAAGGCTTATGTCAGTCGTTCTTGAAAGTCTCCTGCCGGCTTCCTCTTAGGTGTCTTGTACAAGAGGATGGAGGAGAGAGGAAAGAGTTATATCTTATGCATCGAAAGCGTTCACAGGTTAAGAGAAGAACTGGCCAACTCTAGAAAAAAAGCACACGCTGTTGTTTGGACCCTGCATGCAATATTTCTATCCCCATGTGTACGGACGAAAGGTGGTCATAAATACAGTTGACAAGGCCCTAAAGTGGTTGAAAAACGTTAAACATCCAAATGATAAACTGGCACGCTGGATTTAAAAACTGGAAAAGTACGACTACACTATAGAACATAAGCCTAGAAATATAATGCAACATGCTGGTGAACCTTTCCGTGCCCCGGTGAATAGCACTCAGATTTCTGCATTGTCGTGGACGGAGCTTGAAGAAACTCAACACCTGGATGATCATATTCTGTTGGTAAAGAGATGGGTATTGAATGGTCTAAGACCAGATGCGAAACCAAAAGCTGCTAGCCCGATGGTAAAGGCGTAGTACAATGTCTTCGAATCTTTAGTTGTTGAAAAGAATGTTCTTTGTCGAAAATGGATCGATGAAGATGGCAAAGAAATGTTACAGATCGTTGTTCCTAAGTTGGCTTCACCTGGAATTTTGAAAGATGCCCACCAGCAAGTTGGTCTCCATGGAATAGCAAAAACTTTCGAAGTGATTCAGAGAGGCTTTTTATTGGTTTTATTTTACAAAGATGTAGAAAAATTCTGTAAAAGCTGTGAAATTTCTGCGAGAAACAAAGTTGTAGCAAGACCTTGAAGTCCTATGAAACCAATTGAAATTGTCCCAGTGCCATCACATGATAGGAGTGGTTCTTTTTCGTCCTTTGAAGTTAAAACGTCGGGGAAACAAGTTTATCCTTTCCATTACTATTACACGAAGTATGAAGAAGCAACAACTCTTCCTAATCAAGAGACTTAGACAATAGTTCGAGCTCTGGAACAAGCGTTTGCCAGGCATAGAATGCCTTCCCTTTTGCTCACGGACCAAGGCGGTAATTTTGAATCTCATCTAGTAGCAAGTATGTGTCAGTTGTTTGAGATAAAGAAGAGGAGAACTACCGTTTATCACCCGCAGACAGATGGACGTTTCTGCGAGCGATTCAATGGTTACAATCGTAGGATTCCAGATAGTTATGGAGTACCTGTTCTGGATTACTGAACAGATAAGTTAACACTTTATAGTAATAGAATGTTGCACGTTTCAAGACAGTGTATTGTGAACTTTATCGATTTGAACTGTTGAACTATTTTATATGTACTTTTATGTTGAGTTGACCAGGAAAATTTTTTGATACAGTCTTTAATTATGTTGATATTAGGTGGGGAGAGTGTGAAAAAGTGTCTTTTGGAGTATGTCATTTAAGTGCCTTTTGGCGTATGTGGTTTTAGTAGTATGACCGCATGGCGAAAGAGAAAGGAGTCTGTTAGTTTTGTAGCTGATATAATTGTGAGATCGTAAGATATATTTTGTGAAGAAGTTGCTTGTTGCTTGTTTGTCGCTTGAAAGTGTTCAGCAGTGCCTTGTTACACTTACTATCAATCCGGAGAACTTTTACAAATCATAATATGCCTGGATTACAAATATTTAACTAAATGTATTTTTGGGCTTCCAATGGTATTTCTCGACAATTTCATTCGCCGAAGCAAGGAAACAGTTCGATAATTTCAAGCAGAACGTATCCTTACTGTGTATATATTTACTAAAATTTATTTTGAACTTGAAGCTTCAAAAATGGAAACACTATATAATTTATTAAGTAATATTTCTTTACGTATATATATATATTATATATATATATATATATATATATATATATATATATATATATATATATATATATATATATATATATATATATATATATATATATATTTGTTATATAGTTAGTGTCAAAGTTCAATTTTTCTGTTTGCCGATTGGTCAAAACCGTTTCACGTGCCTGTCCACAAAACGTCATGTTCGGCAACCGGTCCGCAATCAAACATTTATTGACCGGTCAATAATAAAATGGGTGCAATACGCATGCGTGTCAACCATGAAGTTCCAAAGTTCATTTTTTAAACTTTTTACTAAACATTTACGGCGTTCCATTTATCCAGTTTTGGTTTCAAATTAAGTTCACTTCAATAACCGGTGAATTATTCATACTTTGAGTCTTTGACACTTATATACTATATAACAAAACACTTATTTACTCGGGAGACCTCGGGAAAGCAGTGTGTTGTGTGGCCCCTCGACCGCCGTTGTTGCCCTCGGCTTCGCCTCGGGCAACAACGGCGGTCTCGGGTCCACAAAACACACTGTTTCCCTCGGTCTCAGTAAATAAGTGATAATTATTCGCCGAAGGCGAGGTGATTATCGGTGAATAAAAACCGAGACGAAGTCGAGGTTTTTATTCACGATAATCACCGAGCCTGAGGTGAATAATTGTTTTAGTATAATTTCATAGGTGAATATTTAGAAAAAAATTAAAAAATACACATTTCTTTGTCATTTAAAGGGTATTGGCAACAAAAATTTTTATTGATTTTATTGCTTCATCTGAAGGAGCATGAAAAAATAAGCCGATTGGCCGTTTACTGCTCTATTCTATCTCATCTGGTTCCGAAGTTATACGCAAAAATGTGCAAAATATAAATTGCTGATTCAGCACATTCTGTGACGTCATAAGCTGGGTAAGTATGTTTATTGAATAGTAAACTAAAGCATAGCTGAGTTATTATTAGCTCAAATCAAATGAAATTTTGCATACAGATACTACATGATGAGATGCATGGGGAAAATACTTCTAATTTCGTTGTCAAGGCAACACAGTCGTTCCCAGGCCTCTTACACTGATTTTGAATAACTAGTTGCATTTATCTATGTGTATGTCATTTTCGAATTATTATCATGCAAGTAAACTTTTGGCATGCATAAGTATCATACACATACTTCTGATATTATTTTATTCTTATCAGTACCTTGAATAAAGCTGTTTCATAAAATTGGCGCAAGGGGCCTGGAAACGACATTGTTACCTTGGCAACAAAATTAGAAGTGTTTTTCCATGCGTCTCATCATGTACAATCAGTATGCAAAATTTCATTTGATTTGGGCCCATAATAACTGAGCTATGCTTCAGTGTAGTATTCAATAAACATACTTACCCAGCTAATGACGTCACACGTTGTGCTGAATCAGCAATTTATATTTTCACATTTTGGCGTATAACTTCGGAACTAGATGAGATAGAATAGAGCATTAAACGGCCAATCGGCTTATTTTTTCATGCTCTTTCAGATGAAGCAATAAGATAGATGAAGCAATTTTTGTTGCCAATCTCCTTTAATTGACAAAACGGCTTGGGCCGCCATTTTGAGAATCGCTTAGGTGATTATCGCGTAATAATCACGTACCTCAACAGCAGCCAATCAGCGTGGAGAATTTTGAATAATCACCTATGTAATTATACTAATAATAATTAAAATCATAACGAAAACTTTATTCAATTTTAATAATAATAATAATACTTATAATTATTATAATTATTATAATTATTATAATTATATTAGAATTAATTATAATTATATAATATATTAATTATTACAACAATTATTATTTAGTAATAATTATTAGTAATTAATTATAATAATAATAATTATTAATTAATTATTAATAATTATTATTAATTTTTATTAATTAATAATAATAATATGTAAGTATATAATAAGATGAAGATGATGGTCCATAAGATGAAGTTTTGGTTTTGTTTGTTGTTGCTGACCAAAGTAATGCGTAGTCTTTGACGGTTCACCGTTCACATGATCACATCTTGCCACATGGAAAGTTGGAAACGGCGATATATATAGATATAAATATATATATAGATATAAATATATATATATATATATATATATATATATATATATATATATATATATATATATATATATATATATATATATATATATATATATATATATATATATATATATATATATATATATATATATATATATACATGGACTTGTGGTTAGAGCTCGACAACTGGACTCTGTAGCTCAGTTGGTTAGAGCACTGCACTGGAATCGCAGGGCCGCAGGTTCGATTCCTGCCAGGGACCTATAAAGTTGCATTTTCCCCAGCTGTTCCTGGTTAGGTCAAATAAATGTATATAAATTTACACTCGATAATTTCCATCTATAAAACTGCTGATATAATCATACTCTCTTTTCATTTAATAGTCTGGGGTAAGCAGTGCTTCTGTGACTTCTTCTGGGAGCGAACATATTTCTTTAGTGGACTACGTTCATTCTGTCATCATTGACTGTTCATCATTCAGTTTTGTTGACTCCATGGCTGTAACAACTCTGTCCCAGGTACAGTGCAAACTTGTAGTCATCTACTAATAACACTTATATGTAGTTCGGCCTTGGCAATTCCAGAGATCAGCAAAACCTCAATCCCTAATTGTTTAATATTTGGGAAGAATAAATGTAAAATAATGATTAACAACTATTGAATGAGATTCAGCTCTATAAGGCCTTGATAATTCTTCACAACATGCAAATCTGAACCATATTCAATAATTGTTTTTTTTTTATATATTTCAAATATGAAACAGTGGCCGGTTGTATAGGAAGCCGTTTGGTTAGGCACACAATTCAGAGCGTTGAATATTATTTCTTCATATCAAGGTTATGACGTCACTCCGTTGAATATTATGTCATAACTCCATATTTGATCAGCTGTTCAGTTGATATTTATCACTTATTTACTGAGACCTCGGGAAACAGTGTGTTTTGTGGACCCGAGACCGCCGTTCGCCGAGGGCAACAACGGCGGTCGAGGGGCCACAAAACACACTGTTTCCCGAGGTCTCAGTGTGTTTTGTTATATAGTATATAAGTGTCAAAGTATGAATAATTTACCGGTTATTGGAGTGAACTTAATTTGAAACCAAAACTGGACAAGTGGAACGCCGTAAATGTTTAGTAAAAAGTTTAAAAAATGAACTTTGGAACTTCATGGTTGACACGCATGCGTATTGCACCCATTTTATTATTGACCGGTCAATAAATGTTTCATTGCGGACCGGTTGCCGAACATGACGTTTTGTGGACCGGCACGTGACACGGTTTTGACCAATCGGCAAACAGAAAAATTGAACTTTGACACTAACTATATAACAATTGTTATTAATAATTATTAATCCAACATCCTGTGGGCCGCCAAGAAACCCGCGTGCAATTACACAGTACAGATCTTCATCACGGGCTTAAAACTGTAGGGAGCCTCTTTAAGAATGCGTTTTTGACTCGTGTTCGTCAGTTTTTGACTCGAGTTCACTCGTGTTCGTCATTTTTGACTCGTGTTCACTCGTGTTCGTCATTTTTGACTCGTGTTCACTCGTGTTCGTCAGTTTTTGACTCGTGTTCACTCGTGTTCGTCATTTTTGACTCGTGTTCACTCGTGTTCGTCATTTT